CGCTGTGCGTGTCCGCGGAGTCGGGGGACACGGCCAGTGGCCCAGGGCTGGTCGGGCTCTCGGACACCGAGTTGGACCGCGGCTCTTCATTGTTTTCCTGGGGGGGAGCAGGGAGCGAGCGTGAGTGGGATGACTCCAGCCCTGGGGTTTGGGAACAGCCCCTGGAGCTGCGAGTCCTGCCCGGGGGGCTGCAAAATCCGTCCTTCCCGCACATAATCTCTTGCAAGCTCCAGGCTCATAAATACCTTCAGTGCAGCCCATCCGGGGTGGGGAAGGATTAAACCCCAGCCTGACTGCCCTGGCTTTAGCGGGAGGAGGAGCAGGAGGGTGGCTGGAGGGGTGGGGAACTGCAGCACAAGGCCAGCCTCCCAGCCCTGCAGCATCATAAGGATGGAGGAGGATGAAGAGGAGGGAGGCATTGCAGCCACCTCCATCACACTCAGCCCCACAGGCAACCCCCTTCTTGGGGGGCACAGGCTCTTGGTCCCCTTCCCAGTGGTACCTGCTCTTGTGTGGCAGCCTGGGAGCACTGCAGTCGCTGGTGGCATCACCCACCCATGGGCGGGGGGACAACTAAACAGGCAGGGGTCCTGCCCAAAGACTGGCACAGATGGGATATAAAAGCAAGACGAGGCTCTTACCTTCCCTATATCGCCGTTGGCAACTGGTTCTGGCAAGGGACCTGCAGGGTGAGGACACGGGAGCTGGGTGAGGACGCATTTGCTTTGTCCCCTCCTACCTGTTCCCCCACAGCAGTGCCCAGAAAGGCTGCACGTGGCCAGCACTCACCCAACACTGCCCAGGGTCTGGCTGGGTCCCGAATTTTTTAACCCACCCCTTGCAGCGAGCCCCGCAGCATGGGGGAATGCTGCCAGGCACATCCCTGTCAGGACAGCCATGACATGGAGCCCAGTGAGAGCTCCCCATCCTCTTAGGGACCACCGTCACCCCGCAGTGAGGGGGCTGCAGTGTGCTGAGGCTGCAGAGAGCAAAGGGCAGCTGTAGCTTGTTCACTCCCTGAGCCATAAACCTTGCCAAAGTGCAATCCAGAGCGATAAACCTGCCTTCCCGCAGAGCCCACGCAAGCCCCACTGCCCTGGCACGGGGCTCTCAGCTGCACAGGGAGGTGCCAAAGCAGGGTGACCCTGCTTGGCCCCAGGGTGATGAGACTTCCACCTCCCATGGCTCAGGGACTCCCGCCGCACCCACAGGTTTGATGATAAGGCAACATGGAGCTGGCAGATGTGGCACAAACACCCCTCTCCGCAGCCCCCAGCCCACCTGCCAGGTGCTCCTCAGAGGGCACCACCTTGCACTTCTTGAAGAACTCATCTGTGAGGACGTCCACCACCAGCAGCCTGGTCTCGTCGCCACCCGCCTTGATGGCTGCCACCACGTCAGCGTGCTGCTTGCCCTCCATGCACACACCGTTCACCTGCGGGCATGGTACCACATCACCACTGAGGCCAGGGGACATCCATCCCTTGGGAGCTCCATGGAGGGGCCTGGTACCAGCCTTGGTACCAGTCACAACCCCAGCTTGGCCACCCCACGGCCCCCGCGGGTACCCGCAGCCTTGCAGGGATTAGCGGTGAAGCCAGCAAAACCTCATTAAAAGCAGATTTTCCTCTGAGTGATTAGCACGGGATCGCACAGGCAAAGCTGGCTGGGAGCGCCCGGCAGGGCATGGACCCGAGGCTGGCGCAGGAGGTGGACAGCACAGGCAAGGCACAAAGCCCCCATGCCATGGCATGGTCCCCAGAGACCCCAAAGCTTTGCCCCAAAAGAGGGAGCAGCCCCACGCCCTGGTGAGCAGCAGGGTTGAGGCTCGGCCAGTCCTTGCCCTTGTGGGTCACCATCCCGTCTGGCACAAACCCTGTCCCCACCCAGGTCACAGCTGGCAGCAGGGCTTGGGGCCATCATTCACCTTGTCCTCAGCCCGCCCCACCTCAGGGACAGCCCAGGACACTCCTGCTCTGGGCAGGGGATGGCGATACCATCATCTAACCCACAGCCAGCTAATTAGTGCCCAGCCCTCTACGGTGCTGCTCCCCACTGCCCGCCCGGCTGCACCCCTGGGTGGGGACCGGCAGGCTGGCACGCGTCAGGCGGCTGCGCCGTGAGTCACCGCCGGCACCAGGGACACTGCGCACCCTCCCAGCAAAGGGCACCTCTCTCCTGGCACCAGTATGCGAGGAAGCACCGAGCTTTTCAGGGAGACCTCCCCCCTTGCCCTGGCATACCTCGATGACGCGGTCCTGGGGGGCCAGCCCGGCCGCCTCAGCCGGCGAGTCAGGATCGACGGCACGGACGTACTGCCCCGGACGGCTCTTGTCACTGTGCAGGTTGAAGCCGAAGCCATTGGGACCCTTCTTCATGCGGCACAGCCGAGGTCGCAGCTCCTCCTGCAACAGGGACAGACCATGGGAATGCTGCTCCTGCACCCAGGGACAGCACTGGCACCACCGGACGTCTGCTTGGGTGGCAGGAACATCATCCTTGGGTGGCCACCCGCACCCCCAGACACCTCTAGTTGGGACACAGGGTGCCAAAACACCCTATGAACCCAGGCTCTAGTTAATTCATTAGGTGCAGGGCATGCTAATTGCTGCAAAACATTAAGGTAACATGTTATTATGTCTGTCCCTAGACCACGCTCTTCCTTTTGGGATCGGGATTAACTGCCATGTGAAGGCGGAGGGGGAAACACAGCCCAGGCTGCTGGGAAGCACCCTCACCCCACCCAGGAAGCCTTTGCTACCAGAGAAGTCTCAGCTGTGGGTGCAGATCCCCTCCATCACTCTCCAACAACCTCCAGCTCCTCTCCACCACAAATCCAGCGGTGGGACCCCAACCCCACCCGAAAGCACTCCACAGTTGCTGTTGGTGGGGAAGGGGCACAAGGAGCTCAGGCAGGGAGCCAGACTGAGCAGCCTCGATACTGAAGCACACCCCAACACCCCCGGCACGACCCTCTGTGATTGCAAAACAGAGAAACCAGCTCGACTGGGGCAGCGTGACGGGGGACGTTCACCTCTCCAGGAGGCAACACCCAGCCTGGTTTCACCCTGACCCGTGGATCCACCAGCACCCAGAGCCAGGGAACCCGACTGGGGCACCCATGGCCCCGCACCTGGCCCCCGACAAGCCCGTTAACAGCGCAATACCCCATGGGAAGCAGGAGCATCCCCAGAACTTTGGCAAATAGGAGCTGCCTTCACTCGCCCACATAGCACGGTCCCTTCTCACCATGAAATCCCCCTGCCAGGAAAGCCTGGTCCCCAGGGTGCTGGCACCCCATGTCCGGCAGCGCAGCAGTGGCACAGGGTCCCACGTTTGCAACGCTGCAATAAAACCCCGTCCTCTTGCACAACGCCCTCCTGCAGGGTCAAGGCCAGCGGCCGCCCCGGCACCTCTTGCCAACGCCCCAGGGAGAGAGGCACACCGAGCACCCAGCC